CCACCTCTAAATATCTAAAGGAGTCACAAGGCCCTGCTGGCACCCCTGGGAAGATCAACCTATCCACCTCCAACTCATTTGGAGTTGCTCAGTAGCACAGGAAAGAAGAAAATGACATCTAAAAGCTGCAAAATATTTCTAAACTCAAGAGCAAATCTCACGAAATGCTTTTGCAGAAGAAGTTACATGTGAAACTTAAAACCAGACCAATTAACACCTCTAAATGCAGAACAAGAACCAGCACAGCCCCTCAGCAGCAAAATCCAATGGGGTTGCACTGGAAATGTTCAGGAATTCACTGGAAATTGTGGTGTTTGGCCAAGTTCTTGCTCACCCATTGGGTATGGAATTTGGGGAATTTCTGCAAAAAAAAAAAAGTCAGTCAAAAAGTAAAAATAAACATGAGAGGAGTATTTGGATGAGGTTGGAGCAGCAGCATCTCTGAAAACAAATCTCCATTTCCTTGGTGCTCACAGCTGATTTTCTTGGTAGGAGGTTTTCAAAGTGAAACCACATCCTAAGAAGGCACCTTGAGAAGTGAGAACATCAAAGTTCCTTTCAGGAATTCTGCCTGGTGCTTCATCCCCAAATTTACAAAGCTGCTTCTCCCTGGCCCACCACAAAGGCTGAAGGTTCAGCTTCAAACAAAAAAAAAAGAAAATTTTCCTCACAAACTGCTGCACCCACCTTAAATCCTCTCATTTGCACGTTCTGAAATAGAAAGACAAAACCCCACAAACTTTAGGCAGCCTCAGAAAAGCAAGATTAAAAGCCAAACTACTTCAAGGGACTTCGTTATCTGCAGGCCTCAGAGTGCTACAAAGCTTTGTCCCATCTGTGTTTTGAAAAGCAAAACAACTTTTCTGCCTTATTTTGATCTTATTTATACCCAGGGATGAGCCTAACTCAGGAAATCACATTTTTAAACTGCAAAAGCATCCGGTTTTCAAAGCAAAATCCAACCATGGGGGTTACTCCTGCAAAAGCACTGTCCAAACATCTGGTTTGGAGCAGGAACATCTGCCTGGCACAGAGAGTTTTATTTTCACTGCTCAGCAGCAAAAGGCAGTGACCAGAAGGGTTCCAGCCAAAGCTGCTCAGTCTGGTTGCACTCAGAGCTCAAAATTCCTGGAATTTTTGCCCTTCCCAGGGGTTCTCAGCACAGCAGAGAGTCCTTGCCCAGTCCAAACTCCAAGGATTTTCCATGCTGCAGTCACGTGCTGGATGTGAATCCAGGGAACACGGTGTCTCCCCAGCAATCCCTTCAGAAACTGCAGGCTCAGCTCCTATTTACCCAAAGGAACAACTTCTTGCCACAAATTGATACTTCTAGAAGGGATTTTTAGAAGTTTTTCTGGAGAAATCCATGGGTTGTTTGGGAGGAAGGGAGGTTCTCCAAGGCAAGCTCTCACTTGTTCCCATTGTCTGCAGTTATTGTAGAAGAAATCAGGACTTGTTTAGAGATTTGGAGATTTTTTAGAGACTTTTTTTAGAGATTTGGAGCTTTCCTACATCTCAGTTCCCTCTCTTGGCCTTCTGAGTCAGAGGTGAAACAGGTGATAAAAACAGAGGGAACATTTCCTACTGCCAGGGGTGCACTTTTCACCCCTGAGGAGAAACAAGGACTTGGACAAACTTTCACCCTGACTCACTCCAGGAAAAGATTGGAGCTCCTCTCCAAGAGGGGAAGTCCCAGGGGCAGATTAATCCCAATAAATATTTGGATGAATTTATCCCAGTGCCTCACCATCCACCCCAGGGCTGCTTTTGGCCTGAGGAAAGGGAGCTGGATAAACTCAGCTGCCATGGAACAGTCCTTAAAACCTTTGGAGTTTTCTCCTCGGGCACATCCTCATTCCTTCCACAACAGTCAAGACCCAACTACAGATTTGGGATGAGGTTTTCAGGCAAATTCCACTCCTTTAGAAAGCAGGAGCTCTGATTATTTCAGCTTTGCCACTAGAGAAGCCTCTGGAGCAGGAGTATCACACTCTGAACCAGGGAACTTCTCACTCCCCTCATCATAAACTTAGAAATCCACTTTATCAATTCCTACCCCATCCCATACATCCTGAAATTTAGGGTTTGGAGGTGGATTTCATTTGCTTTGAAGTGAAATCTCCCTCCTGAGCTCAGCCACTAAATGGAATTCTTCCTTTATGTCAGCACAGCCCCAGTCCTGTACCTTCCCTGCCCGCTCTCCATCCAAGCAAAATTAATTTGGGCAGGTAAAAACTGCTTCAAGATTAAGTTTTTTTTTCCCCCCCCTCAGCCAGCTCAGCATCAATCAAGAGACCAGAGTCTTTCAAGGCAGAGTCTGCTAGCAAAGAGTTCATTTGTATTTCACAGATTTGTTTCTCCATCTGTTGCCTGACACTGCTCTCCCTTTCCATCACCTTAAACACACTGTCTGGTTTTTTTAAGATATTGATCTTTGTTATTACAGTAAAACCAGATGGTTTGTGCCTCTTTATATGGTATTTCCTTCTCCCTCTCCCTTTGATTCCAGGGAGATCCAAGGAAATAATTTATCGGGTTTCTGCCAGGTTGTGAGAAGTCTGGTAGAATTTTTAAAAGCATCAAAAACCTCTAGCAAACACACCAAGCCTCAAGGAGAGCTTCTGGTTGGGAAAAAAAAAATGGATGGAGGTCAGACAGGAGCCAGCTCAGCTTCCCAGAGGTGCCTGGAGCAGTGGAAGGTTCCCAGCTCATGGCAGGGGGTGGAACAGGACGATCTTTAAGGTCCTTTCCAACCCAACCCATTCTGTGATTCTGCTCCAAATTACACAGTTTTAAAAGCCTCATTATTTGTGTAGCTGATCCAGCCCCAGGATTGCCAAAGAGGATCTCATCAGGAAGGAAATAATTCCATTTACTGCAGGATAAAGGGCAATAACAAAGTGCAAACGCTGACAAATGGTCAGCTGGCAGAAATCTTGTGTGGTCAATTATCAGCCCCCCATTGCCAAGCAGATGCTCAAATCACAGTTCATTTTTACATCTGCTCCAGCACAGCCTCAGCAGCATTTAAATTCTTTGGGGAGGCTGCAAATAAATGAATATATTAGGATTTAGCAGCATCTAGAAAGCAGAATGAGAGGAAGCACAAGTTGAGCCATGGGGTTGTCTGGAGATGGCTCAATGTGAGAAGTTTATTCTGAATATAAAAGGATTTTTTTCCAACTAGTCAGTGTGACTTTTAGCACTCAATCACCCAATATAAGAATATCAATCATCCAATATGAGAATATATATGAGACATATGCAGCTATAAAAGATATTTATATGAAAAATGGATTTTTTATATATGGAAGTTGTATTTAAATATATGAAAGCTGTATTTCCTGCAAGTGCAAGCCACCATGCAGATAAGGGAAAAGCCAAAATCTCTGCTGTAGCCAGCTTGGAATTCCCTCAGACAGCACAGCAGCAAGAGCCAGGATCCAAGGAAGAACAGACAGATTATATAAAAGATGGGATAGCAAAGCAAACATTACCCTGAGACAAATGCCAGGAGATTTGCAACTCAAAACAGAGCTGAAGATTTGTAGCAGCAATATATTAGTTCCTTCCCAGAAGGAATTCCCTTGCTGGCTCTAAATCTGCTGATTTTCCTTCATGAATTCCTTGGGAATCACTCAGCATTTCCTATGCAAACGACAGAGGCAGGACAGTGCTGCAGCTCCAGGTGCAGGGACACAGCACCCAGGGCACTGCCAGCCCACCCAGGAGCTTCTCACCTGGGACAACTGGCAGAGCCCACGCTGTCTGTCGGGCTGAATTCCAAGCCTACAGCTATTTGGAATAAGAAAGCTTTGCACTAATAAGAAAATCAAATTGTGTGCATCGCAGACAATGTTCTTCCCCAGCAGAAGAGAGCTCCATTTCACTCCTCAGCCTGGCTCCTTTAGAGCTCCTGCCTGATTTTTTGTGACTCACGACATACGTCTTGCATTTTTAATTTGAAAGCAAGAGAAAACAAGGCCATTTTAGCTTTCCCTGCCTCGTCCCCTCTGCATTACTTATGCTGGATTCATCCTCTGAAGCAGCCCTGTGGCAATGCAGCTGTTCCTGCTGCCTGCCTAAGTGCAGGCTCCACACACACACACACACACAACTGTCAGCTTCTTGTGCCTCGCAAGAAATGGCAATTATTGCACCCATCAACACTCAAAATAACCACGGGGAGCCGTTGGCTGGAAGCTACCAGAATATTTTGCCTCTCAGAACATCCCAGTCCTACCCATCAGCTGCCACCCATGAGCTGAAATCCAAACCTGCTCTTTGCAGCACCTTCCTTTGCAAACCCCCGCAGTCGGTGGCTCTTGGATGACACCGCTGAGGCAACACAGAGAAAGTGTCAAAAATAAACTCAAATCTCGGCACTTGAGCTTCAGATTCCCCCAGTCTGAGCCCAAATCTCAGCATCTGAGCTCAAGATTTCCCCAGTCTGATCCCAAATCTCAGCATCTGAGCTCAAGATTCCCCCGGTCTGATCCCAAATCTCAGCATCTGAGCTCAAGATTCCCCCAGAGTGAGTTCACAGGTTTCAGGGAGGTGGTGGAGTCCTGGAGGTGGCACTCAGTGCTCTGGGCTGGTGATCAGGTGGGAACTCGATGTTCTTGGAGGTTTTTTCCAATCTTGATGATTCTGGGGTAGTTGTGAACTCACAAGATCAAGTCAATCCTCAACAGAACAAACCAGAGCTCAGCTCTGCTTTTCCCAGGGAATACAAACCTGCTCTGGGAGCATCCCTGATTTTCCACACCAAACCCCTTCACAATATTTTCCAGATATCTCTGAAACTCCTCTGAGCCAGCTCTGGAGCCAGGCAGATTCCTGTGCAGGAATTTTGTGCATGGCAGTGTACAATAGCGTCCCATTCACTTTTTATTCCCCTCTGAAAACAAACACACTCCAAACAAAGAATTCAAGTCCAGCCAGCCAAGAGATCAATTTTCCCTCCCCACCAGCCTCATCCCATCCCACCTGGGGGTTACCTGAGGTAATAGCCACACTTTTCCTCACTTGGATTGGCACAGCCTGGAGAGAAACGTTTCTTTTGCTCAGGCTGTGCTTCTGAAATGCAGGTCCGTTGTTTCGGCCTTGAAAATAATAAATTGTGTTAATTTTTTTTTTTTTTTTAGGTTATTTTTTACATTAGGTTACAGTTGACAGAGAGGGCAGAACTGTGGCAGACATTATATTCTTGTGGCGCTGTTGTGGGATTGAAAAAAAATAAAAGTATTTATTTGAGTAAAACTACAAAGATAAAACATGCAGCCGGTCACCGCAGGGAGCTCTCAAAAGCAGCTTTTTCACGCCACAGCATCGGAGAAAAGCCCCGATGTGCCGCCTCCAGGAGCGGGGAAGAGCAAGAGCAACATCCTGAGCCGCTCTGCTGCTGCCACCTGCAGGGAAAGGCTCCGGGAGGAGCAGCCAGAGAGGCACAAACATCCCCTGTCCTGCCTGCACGCCACGGCCCCAAACTGCCTGACCCACCTCCTTTCCCATTTCCCCATATTCTTCACCCTCTTCTAGTATCAGGGTGAAATATTTATTGTTTTCCCACTGTTTCAGTGCGGCTTAATTTAAAAATAAAAATAAACCCACGGCCAACAAAGTGATGGAGGAAACAGGTGGGATGGTTTCCAAAGTGCAGATTTCTTAAGAAATTACCTTTCTTCTTCCTTCCGTGGGACAAGAATTATTTTGCCACTTTTTTTCCCTCTGAGTGGCTCTTCCTGCCCAGTCTGGCCTACAGCTGTGTCACTTAACTGGAAAGGGAAGGAAAAAGGGGATTAATGTGTAATAAAACTTTTCCATGTAAGTTTTGCTTATCGAGTTATATAAAAAATCCACTTGAAAAACTTCCCCTGTATAAACACAGCACTTATGTGCACATGGACAAATCCAAAGGGATGGGATTAAAAACATTCAAGTTACAAGAATGAAGATGTGAATTTACTTTAGTGCTGCCTGGTGGCTGCTCAGCTCCTGTGGATTCCCTTTCAGCATCCTCTGGAGAGCCTGATTTCCTTGAGGAACAGCTCGTTGCTGCTTTGGGAAGTTCTTTTTTTGGTGGCAACACAGATGCTGGACTCTCATCCCCTGTGCTCTGGCTACAGGGAAGGTCGGATGAGGGCAGGGATCTTCCTGGGCAATCCTGAGCCAGGCTTTCCTGGCCTTTAGGCATCACCCCTTCTGAGGATTTTTCAGGAATGCACCTCCCAGCAGCTGTGGAATATCCCAAGCAATCATCTATCATTGCATCCAAAGTTTCTCTTTCCAGGTTATTTTCCTCCAGAGCCTCATCAGAGCAGGCGGCAGCGAACGGGCTCAGGCTCAGCAGCTCCTGCAGGTCAAGGTCCAGCTCCTGCTGCAGCTGGGCCCCATCCAGAGCATTTAAAAAGCCAGGATCACACCCAGAGCTGCCTGAGGGATGTCCCTGAGGTTCTTTTGGCTCCTCTGTGACCTCTGAGGCCACCTCACTGACCGATGTCCCCATGGTGCAACCGCTGCTCTCGGCCTTGTCGCTCTCCCCACTCGCACTTTGGCTCAAGTGGCTTTCACCAGCAAGGTGCTGCTGCTGCTGCTCAGCTTCCATGGAATCATCTGCCAGGATTTCCTGGATCTCTTCCTCGGTGTAATCAAAGGGGGAATTCCCTTTCTCGCTGCCTGACAGCTCCAGCAGGGAATCATCCATCTCGCTGTCGTCGAAACACCTGCTGATGTTCAGGGAAATGGCCACGTCGTCATATTTGGACACGGAAAAACTGGCACCGACCTCATCCTGGCCACTCTCATCCTGAAAAAAGGAGAAGCCAGAGCCTGGGGAAGGGAACAGAGGATTCCCTGCTGGATCTGGAGTGCTGCAGCCACGGCTCAGCACGCAGGCTTTCTTAGCTGACTGCAGGGCCTGCACCTGCACTGCAGAATCCGACAGCCTCTTGCTCCTGGGGGCTGGGTCCTGCTTGAATCCCTGATGGAGCCCAGGGGAAGGAGGGGAACTGTCTCCCATGGCTTCCTGCAGCTCTGCTTCCAGCTCTAAAGGCTCATCTGCTGCTGGTGGCCTTTGATCAGCCCTTCCAGAGGAGGAACCAGCAGGACTCAGCTCCAACCTGCCAGTAAAAAGTGACATCCTCAGTGAAAGGATCCCCAAAATGCTGGGATTTAACAGGGAAGGCAAAAACACCACAATTTGATCTCTGCTCTTGACTGTTTTAGGTCCCAACCAATCCTTCATCCCTGAGTGTTCCCTCAAGCAGCACCAGTGGAAATCCCAATGATTGGAGGCTGTGCCCTCTGCTCCCAAACTGCTGCCAGTGCCTCACAGCAGACCCCGGGAATCCCAAATTACAGCTTTAAACTGCAAAACATTAAATAAAACCTCCAAACGTCTCAACCCCCTCAACCTCTGCCCTTCAGAGATAAATAAACACATTTTTTAAAAATCTTTTTTTGGGGTTGGGAAAAGCTGAGCAAAGGAAGAGGAACCCTGTCAGGGAATTAGTCATTGAGAGACTCACACAAAATCCTCATTATAATCCAAGATCATCAGATAAAGAACCTTCCTGTGAAATTCAATAGTTCCAAAGTATTCACAAACAAACCCTGTTTCCCCTCAGAGTGAGGATTCATCCCAAAAGGAATCTTTGGACCTGAAAGCCCTGCACTTGACTCTCACCCAGCAGGGGAATTTGGACTAAGGAAAGGTATTTCCTGTCCTCTTTGAGCAAGGATTTAAAGGAATGTCTTTTGTCTTGACTACTGTTTAAAAAAAGGGAGGGTTACACACTCCAGGAATGAAACCTGGGCAATTCTGCTGCTTCCTCTTGTCATTCTGCCTAAATAATGAAAATGGACACTTTCAGAATTGTGCTGTAGGAAAAAAATACCTCAGGAATCAGCTGTGTGTGCACAAAACCCACACAAGAACATGTCTGGATTCAGTCCTATGGAGTGTGGTAGTCTGATAATTCAGCTCCTAATGATGGAAATCTGGAATGATTTGGGCGGGAAGGGACATAAAGCTCATCCAGTGCCACCCACACCAGGGCAGGGACATCTTCCACTGTCCCAGGTTGCTCCAACCTGGTCTTGGACACTTCCATGGATGGGGCAGCCACAAATTCTCTGGGAATTCCATTCCAGGGCCTCACCACCCTCACAGAGAGGAATTTTTTTCCCAATATCCCATCTCCTCCTGGCAGTGGGAAACCATTCCCCCTTGTCCCGTCTCTCCAGGCCCTTGTGCCACGTCCCTTTCCAGCTCTCTTGGAGCCCTTTTAGGCACTAAAAACTGCAGTTGGGTCACCCTGGAGCCTTTTCCTGTCCGCATTAAAATCCCAGCAGGCGTTAAAGGTCCAGCTCTCCCCTCACCGAGGGTGAAGCCAACGCCGCCCCTGCCTCTCTCCCTCAGGGATCCGCCGGTCCCTCAGCGGGCACCGCCCAACCGGCGCCTCAACGGCACCGCCCCAAGGCGGGGCCAAGTCCGCCCCGCCCCTGGCTCCTCCTCCCCGCCCACCCGAACACGGGGAGCACCCCGAGCCTCGGAAAAAAAGGGGGTAAAACCCCCCCAAAATAAACGAGGACAAATTATCTTTCGCTGAAACAAAGCAGCGGCAGCAGGCCTGACCGGGCCTGGCAGCAATGGCGCTCACCCGCCGCCATCTTAACGGCGCCAAGGCCACGCCCCCACGAGCTCGAGACGCCCTCTGATTGGCGGAGCGCGGGGTGCGCGCAGCGCGAGGCGCTCTCTGATTGGAGGAGCGCGCCCCCGCCTTCCCGCTCGGTGCATCGGCAGCTCGGTGCTCGGCGGGCCCAGGCGCCGCAGTCGAGCGCCGAGCGGGGCTGATGCAACCCGGGGCAGGTCGGTGGGACCGGGCGGGGGAACCGGGGAAGAACCGAGAGGGGTTCGGGGGATCCCGGGGGTCTGATAATGATGTGTCCTGCCCTGCAGCCGCCGCTATGGAGCCCGCACCCGGCCCGCAGGAGAAGTATCAGCTCATCACGCGGAACCTGCAGGTACCGGGAGGCGGATGGGGCCGGGGCTGGGCCGGGGGGACGAGCGGGGACATCTGGGCTGGATCTGAGGGGCGAGCGGGGCTGGATCGGGGTCGGGCGGAGGAATTGGGGCTGGGTTGATTGAGGTTGGATTAATTGAGGCTGGATCGGCGCCGGGGCGGGGGCGATTGGGGCAGGATGGGGTCCGGGTACCGGGGGTATCGCGGCTGGATCGAGGCGGATCCGGCAGGATTGGGATCCGAGAGGGGAGAACGGAGCAGGATCAGGGTATGGGGAGGACGGGATGAGGGGATCTGAGGCAGAGCAAACCTCGGGGATCAGCACCGGGAACACGCCGTGTGTGAAGCACCCAGAGGGTTTTTCCTGCCCACCGTGCTGCCGGTGTGTGCCCAGCCCTGCCAGCTCTGTGTGTTTTGGCCCCTCACAGGAGGTGCTGGGCGAGGACAAGCTCATGGCCATCCTGAAGGAGCGAGAGCTGAAAATCTACTGGGGGACCGCCACCACGGGCAAGCCCCACGTGGCTTATTTCGTGCCCATGTCCAAGATCGCAGATTTCCTGAAGGCTGGCTGTGAGGTGGGGCATTGTCACCGTGCTGTCACCATCAGCTGCGTGAGCAGGGGCGGTTCCCCTGACCCAGGTGACACCTCCTGTCCCCTGTGCTAGGTGACAATCCTCTTTGCCGACCTCCACGCTTACCTGGACAACATGAAAGCTCCCTGGGAGCTGCTGGAGCTGCGCACCCGCTACTACGAGCACGTCATCAAAGCCATGCTGGAGAGCATCGGGGTGCCCCTGGAGAAGCTCAGATTTGTCCGGGGCACTGATTACCAGCTCAGCAAGTGAGTCCTGGCCATCCAGAGAGAGCCTCACCTGCGGCTCTGCTGATCCTGAGTCTCTGGAGGTGCCTCCAGGCTTTCAGTGTGGTCAGGAGCAGCTCTCAGAGCTGTCCCCGTGCCTGGTGGTGACAATGCTGTCCCTCCCACAGGGAGTACACGCTGGACGTGTACCGGCTCTCCTCCGTGGTGACACAGCACGACGCCAAGAAGGCAGGGGCAGAGGTGGTGAAGCAGGTGGAGCATCCCTTGCTGAGTGGTTTGCTCTACCCAGGCCTGCAGGTGAGGCAGGTGTGGCGTTCAGGGAGGTGCTGGCAAAGCCAGCAGGGGTGTTTGGGGCTGAGTGTCAAGGTCGTTGTTGTCCACGCCAATGTCACACCTGGTGGTGGCACAAGCCTGGCCTGAGCACAGAGCTGCTGTTCCAGCAAACAGTCTGGAATGTTCCCGTCCTTCCCTGGCTGGGAGTGGCCCAGGAGAGGCTGAGGGAGAGGGCAGGACTGTTTTGGGTCTGGCCTCAAGGCTGTGTCTCTCCACAGGCACTGGATGAGGAATATCTCAAAGTGGACGCTCAGTTTGGAGGGGTGGATCAGAGGAAGATCTTCACCTTTGCAGAGAAGGTCAGGAATGGGGGGATTTCTGCAAGACTGGGGCCTCAGGGAGGGCTTGGCCACTCCCAAATCCATTGGGAGAAGTGTGTGGCATTTTGGTTGATGTCACAGCTCTCTGTGCTGCTGCTGCTGCTCCCGTGCTCTGCAGCCACACATCCCTGGCTGTGACTCTGCCATTCCTGGGTCCTGTTATCTCAGATCCCAAGGTTACCTGGAGCCAGGAGCAAACAGGGATTGTGAGTTCAAACTGAATTAAGGTTATCACTGACTTGCCTCCTTGTGTTTTCCCAGTACCTCCCTTCCCTGGGCTATGCCAAGCGCATCCATTTGATGAACCCAATGGTTCCTGGGCTGACAGGCAGCAAAATGAGCTCGTCAGAAGAGGTTGGTCCTGGGTTTGACTGTGCTCAGGGGGCTCTGGGGTGACTGGGGGCTGAGAGGGAACCAGCCCAGGCAAGGTGAGCTCTCCCTCCCCACTCATGAATTTCTAAGAAGTGCAGCAACTCCAGCATGAGTTTTCTAGGCAAAATCTGGGGTGAGGGGCTGAGGAAATCTCTTGCTGCAGGACTCCAAGATTGATCTTCTGGACCGCAAGGAGGACGTGAAGAAGAAGCTGAAGAAAGCTTTTTGTGAGCCAGGGAATGTGGAGAACAATGGTGTCCTGTCCTTCATCAAGCACGTCCTCTTCCCCCTCAAGTCAGGTGAGGGGACAGGAGTGTGTCCCCTGAAACAAGGCTGCCCCTGAGTGCCCCCTGCCCAGTCCCTACTCCTGGGCAGGGTGGGGTGGGTGGTTTATTTGAGCCTGGAGTTCATCTGAGCTTTAAAACCTGTTTTTGTCTCAGAGTTTGTGGTTCTGCGAGAGGAAAAATGGGGAGGAAACAAAACCTACACGGCCTACGAGGCCCTGGAGAAGGACTTTGCTGAGCAGGTGAGTGCTGTGAGGGGCTGAACTTTCTGCCTGAGGTTCCTGGGAGTGCTGGGAGATGGAAATCTGCACTGGAAAGAGGTGTGGAGTGTGGCCTGGTAGTGTGGGATGCTCCCAGCCAGGAGAGCCCAGAGGAGAGAGGATTAAGTGAAGGGTGTGAGGTGAGGACAGCACCACATCAGCCACATCTGGAGCAGGGCAGCACTTTAACCCTTCCCAGCTGTTCCCAGCAGAGGCTGGAGGTAGAAGTGTCCAGAAACTTCTGATCCCCAAGGGAATCAGGTCAAGGGTTTGGGATTCATCTTCCCACCCTGTTTGGTCCCAGTTCCTACCTGTGGCCTCAGACAGGAACATCTTTGTCCTGACACAGGTTGTGCACCCTGGAGACCTGAAGAACTCTGTGGAAGTGGCCCTGAACAAACTGCTTGACCCCATCAGGGAGAAATTCAACTGCCCAGAGCTGAAGAAGCTGAGCAGCGCTGCCTATCCCACCCCATCCAAAGCCAGTAAGGAGGGGATGGGAGCCCGGGGAAGTGGGGCCTTGGGAGCTCAGGAAAATGGGGCCCTGGCCATGCAGGGCTGAGTGGGACAGAGTCCCGCCAGGAGCTGAGGTCAGAGAAAAGTTCTGAAGCTCCAGACTTAAAAATAGCCACGGAGAACATTGGGAAAAAAGAAGAAAGCCAGCACAGGAGGGACTCTGCTCTCTCGTATAGGGACAAG